TCCGTACCACTTAAGGGCAAACCCCACAGCAGAGGCAGGCTTGGAGTGGTTGAGGAGCAGGTGGAAGGCAGTATGGCAGGCTCACAGTGATGGTATGGGCAGCAGTGGAAGCTGAGGCAGGGGCCATATGTAGTCTTGGTGAAGATTTTGTGTTTTCCTTTGATGGGAAGTCATTGGAGGGTTTAAAGAGGGCATCCGGTTGGAGTTTTGAAAAGGTCCTTGTGGCTCCTCTGTGGAGAATAAACCCTAGGAAGGTCCCAGTGCCACAGGGAGTCCATGGGGGCGGTTGGGGAAGCCAGGCAGAGTGAATTAGAGTAACTTGCACCTGAGTAGAGGCTGTGGGAATAAAGAAAAAGAACAAATCCAAGTTTTTGGACTCAGGGATGCTGACTCATGCTAGCCCCGGTCGGAGGGCCTGATGTATAAATCTGCCGATTCATTTTAATGAGTGGCACCACAGCAGGCCAAGTGGCTGTTGCCTCGGCTGGGCCACCCAGATGGAAAGCCACAGTGTGGGGAGGCTGCTGAGTGCCCCCGGAGGAGGAGCCAGCAGGTGGCTGCAATGCTGACAGCCTTCGAGGCTGGCCCCAGACCCACCAAGTGAGCATCCTGGGCCTCACGGGCTCCCTCCTCCAGGCAGGGCTGGTGTAGGCCCCGTCGGCATTGACTTCTCTGGCTGGCTGCCCTCCCCGCTTTGCTAATCCCACGCATATTGGATTTCATGTTTAGGGTCATCAGTCAGGCCTTGCTGGCCTCTGTCTCTTAGAACGTCTTTCTGTATCCATTCTGGGTGCACACTTCTGAACTCCTGGTTCTCAGGCCACTCCCTACCGTGGCTTCCCATTACTGCTTGTAATTATAGACCGTCCCAGGGTCGTTTGATTGGGCGCAAACCGTGCTGAGCGCTCTCTCGGTGTTACTTTCCTGAATCTCCATCACCACCCTGAGAGGGAAGGAGGCGTATCTCTGACTTTTAGACAAAGCCACCTAGACTCAGAGACGTGAAGTCGCTTGCTTACTAGTCAGGTCACAGAGCGAGCTAGTTCTAGACCCAGACTTTGGGTTCCAGGTCTGGCCCTTGCCCTGCTGCCCCGTGAAGGGTCACTGAGATGACTGTGAAGTCCCTGGCCCTGGCCTGGCCTGAAGCAGCATGTAGCGATGGGAGCCTTGCCCCTCCCAGTAGCCACACGTCTGACTCCTGCAAGGCCACCTGCTCACCCCCAGCTCCTTCCCTTTTCCCGACTCCACCTGCTCCTCCTGCCGGGCTGCTTGAAGCCCACATTCATAGGCTTCTTGTTCTGAGGAGTCAGGATGTCAAGGCCACCTGTCTGTTTTCCGTTCAGCACTGCCTGTTCCCCTCTCTGGGCATTTCCTCACAGGGCGATTCAGCCAAAACGCCCTCCCTGCCATCTCCTGTCTATGTTCTCCCTTTTCTCCGCCTCACCCTCCATTCCCTACCCTGCAAGCCCTTCTGTGAGAACTCTGGGCCATGTCCCCTGTCACCAAATCTCCAGAATCTTCTGGGGGCTGAAACTAAGCAAATCTAAGTCACATGCTTGGTGTTGAACCGTTTCCTAGGTGAGCATCCTCCTCCCGTGTAGCAGCGAGCACCGTAGGAACCAGCACATGCTTCCCCGCGGTCCCCTGTGGTGCCCGGCCAGCCTGGCTGCCAGGGGGCTCCATCAGCCCGTGCTGGCCTGGGCCTGTGTAGAACTGTGCCCACGTGACTGGCTGTCGCAGAAGCCAAGGCCAGGTTCTTGGCTTGTTTTCCGTGGCCTGGACTTGTAAAATAAAGAAGGATCTTATCATAGGTTTTATTTTTTATTTTAATGTTATTATTTTTTTAAATTAGTAAATTCTTTTTAAAGTTTGAACAGACCTTATGTCCTTCTCATTCTGTCATACCAAGCCAACTGCTTTGGGGAAAAAAATTATTTTTTAACCTCTAATGCTTTTATTTTTAAGATTTTTAATTCTTTTCTTAAAATATGTTTTTCTTGAGAGAGAAAGGGAGAGGGAAAGAGATAGAAACATCAATAACGAGAGAGAATCATTGATCGGCTGCCTCCTGCATGCCCCCTACTGGGGATTGAGTCCACAATCCCTGCATGTCCCCTGACTGGGAATCCAACCATGACCTCCTGGTTCACAGGTCGATGCTCAACCATTTAGCCACACTGGCAGGGCAGCCTCTGATGCTTTTAAATCACGAAATCCCCAAGTATAGTAGAGAAATGGAGAACTCTGTTAAGCAGAAAGAAGAGAAAATAATCATCCGTACTCTCTAAAAACAACCAAAGTTAACACTTTGCTGATTTTTCTGTAACTGTGTATAAATATTAATCAAAATAGGGTCCATCTGTGCAAACTGTTATGTATCATGTTTTTTTCATTCAGATATTCTCCGACATCTTTTCAAACGCTCTAAGTGGATGAGCCATCATTTATTTAGCCAGCCCCTGGCCACAGTGCTTACGGGAGCCTTATGCCACCTCCTTGGACCTGAGTGTTTTCTCCTTTGAGGAGCTTCTGTTGAGGTTTGCTTGAAGCAGCGAGGGTTGGGGCATCAGGAGGCTGGGTGGGGAGGAGAGTGGGAGGAGGGAGAGGGTTAGGGAAAACCTGTCTGAGGAAACGACTGTCATGCAAGTCTCTTTCGCTCTCTGGGAATCATCGGGTAAAAGAGAGGAGATGGAATCATCTTGAATGACTTCCAGTGCCCCTTCTCTGTGGGTCTGCCAGCCCCAGGTCTTCCCTGCCAGCAGGCTCTGCTAAAGACCCGGACAGCGGGAGACTGGGGTATTCATTTGAGATTGCTCTCCTGGCTGTCCGAGAGGACCAGGCCAGGGGAGGTTCAGAGTGTGGGCTGAGGCAGAGGGAGGAGCTGATGCGCCAGGGCTGCTGGGCTGCCTGGGCCCGTGAGGGTCATGTGGATGCTGCTCCTTACAGCAAAAACATGCAGGTCCGTCTGTGGGTTCTTTTGTGTGTGTGTTTTAAAGCACACTTAAGTAGGCATTTATGTTGAGGGCTCTTCCCTCTAGGCCTTATCTAGCATAATGGCCGACATCCTCCAGCGCAGGCTGAGATCCCGAGCCAGGCGGGCAGGTCTGCTTGGGCGGCGAGCTCCCTGGAGCAGCTCTTGTTGCTTTGTGTCCTGCACAGTCAGCACTTGGTGTCACCCAAGCGACAGAGAGCCTCTGTTTTACTGCGGCTTTAAGTGATCCCGTAAAGCCCAGGGTGATGATGTAAGTGGGAAGCATCTCGGGGCGAGGATGAGGCACTGTGTGTGCACCAAGGCCTTCTCTTCTCCTCATCTTCCGCTTTATTAGCAGCATCAGTAACAACAAACCCTCTCATCTGTGCTCCGGCGAGACTCTGATATCTTTGATGAAAAATTACAACGCTTTTTACTCATTACCCACTCGTTGGGGTTTGAGGGTGTCTGTGATCTGTCCGGGCCCAGAGCTCCCCCGTGGCCTAGTGGGGCGCTCAGGGCTCCTGCCTTTCTGTCCAGTGCCCTTTGGTTTGGGCCGGGCTGGTGCCCCACAGGAATGCAAGGAGCGAAACTGAAAAGCAAAAAGCAAGTGTGGGGCAGGGGTATGTGCCCCTGGAGGTAGCTGTGATATCTATCTGTCTGTCTGTCTGCCTGCCTGCTCATCAGGGGCCTCTCATACTGGATGGGGTCAGGGAGGAACCCTACGGTGGATCCAGCACCTGTCTGCCTGCCTGTCCTTCAGAGGCCTCTCCTGGCAGATGGGGTCAGGGAGGGATTTGCCAGGTCTAAGTCTTGCTCCTTCTCATTTATCTCCCGGCACAGAGTTGGCACCAGGTGTCACATCAGCGTCAGATGTATTCAGAGGAAGGGATGAGGGTTCCTGCCCATATCTCTGTTCCCTGGTTTTAATTCCAAACTTTTCTTTGAGAATCCACTGATAGGGTCAGAATAAGTACTTCCTCAAAAACACCCAACTTGTGAGTTTTTTTTTTTTTAAAGTATATTTAAAATTATTAACCTCTCTTAACAGTTTGCTGATTGATCTTTTTGATCTTTTACTACAAGTGCACAAACACGGTGATGTGTTGTTGAGGTTGTTGTTTTGTTTTTTAAATATAGAGTGGGACCATGCCATTCTCTCTCCTTTTCCGTCCTTGCCGTGTGCTTATTTCACAGGATACCTGGGCAATAGGTCCTTGATTCTCTAAACTCTCATTTCTTGCTCCGAGAAGAAAAGGATAAGAATAGCTAATTTATATATAACTTATATAATAGATAGTTTCTCTAAGTCCCGTGCTTTTTGGGTGAGTCCTAGAGAGGTAAACTGAATGCTCCATTTGTGGCCAACCTGGGCCTGAGTCCAGTTTTTCTGACTCTTACATGGGCAGGGCTGTTCGTCTGTTAAGAATGCCTTTCTGTCTTACCCTTCGGATCCATCCTGACAACATCCCTGGGAAGTCACCGGGGCGGGAATTATTGACAAGGCCTGGGGCATGTAGAGCCTTGCCCACAGTCAGTGCTGGGAGGCTCTTTTGGCTGAGTTCAGTTTAGCCAGCCTTCAGTGAGGGGTTACTGTGTGCCAGTAGCCTCGTGGGGCGCTCGGCCTGCTGTTGTGGGGCAGACAGCCTAGCTGCGGTCCTGCCTGATGCTCTGAGCAGCGTGGGGCTCCCTAGAGAGACTCACGTAGTCCATGGGAAGGGCCCACATCCCAGACCTGGGACAAGATATCAGAGTCCCCGAGGAGCGATTTGTACACAAGGTTGGGAGGGAAGTGCCTGTGACCTCCATTGTCCCCACCAACCCCTCACTTCTCATGACTCTCTCCCCATCCCTACTTCCTGTCCCTCCCTCCTCCCCTCCCTCTCTCTGTGGCTCTTTATCCATTTGTCTCCATCTGTCTCTCTCTGCGTGTGGTTCCTGCCCCGCCTCGCTCTGTTCTGTCACACTATCGCTGACCCTTTCCCCGTCACATGTTCTTCTTCATGCCATTGCAGGCGTGCTGGTCACCATGACAACAGAGACAGGCCCCGATTCTGAGGTGAAGAAGGCTCAGGAAGAGGCCCCGCAGCAGCCTGGGGCCGCTGCTGCTGCTGCTGCTGCTGCTGCTGCGACCACCCCAGTGACCCCCGCAGGCCACGGCCACCCGGAGGCCAACTCCAATGAAAAGCAACCGCCCCAGCAGGACACTCGGCCTGCGGAACAGGTGTGTGCCTGAGAGCATGGGCAGCCCTCTTCCTGCCCAGCCTGTCCTCTGGGGCACGTTCTTAGGAAGGAGGGGAGGAGGAAATGAAGACTTATTACTGACCAGTTACATGCTGAGCACAGTGTCGTTTTTATATTTAATTCTCCCATACCTAAACGTGTAGCCTGCACTTGGTGGAATTGAGGCTCAGCAGGATAAGGCGAGTTGCTAAAGTCACATTGCTATAAAGTGACAGATGTGGAAGTTGAATCTAGATCTGATGTCAAAAACACATGTTCTTTCAACCTCATTTCCTACCCCCTGAGCCTGTCCATTCTAGCTTTGCCAGCCCAGGGTGGCACCAAGTTTATCACCCTGAAGCTATAAGGGACTCAAGGAATCACCTAGTCATTGACTTTATTCCTTCCTTAAATCACGATAGGCCCAGGCAGGGCAGGGACTTGGCCAAGGGCATTGAGGGTGTCAGGGTAGAGTTCGGACAAGAGGGCAGGGCTCAGACCTCCCTCCCCTCCATTAAATTAGTCCACAAGCCCCAAACCTCAGGCTGGACCCAGTGACAGACCAAGAAGGAGGAGTCCAGATAGGTATTCTTATATCTCATGCATATTCTGGGGAGACAGGACAGCTCTGGCCACCGAGGGTGGTTTTGTGGGATGCTCCCGCCTGCAGAGGCCGCCCCAGCAGCAGGAGCCTGCAGGAAAACAGTGGACCCCTCACCGGAGTCACCCTGTTGCACATGGAAGCTCTGGTTCTCCTCCTGTACTACCCACCACAGACTCTGGTCACTCCAGGGACCTTAGATGGCAGTGGCGCTCATTTGAGGGTCCATCATAGCCCCAGCGCCTCCTTGTTGCATCTCATTTGGGTGAAAGGCTGTGATTTCAAGCTCGCTGACCTAACTCTTCTCCTGTTGGACTCACAGAGCCTAGACATGGACGAGAAGGACAACGGGGAGGCTGATGGCCTGTCGGAGAGGACCACGCCCAGCAAGGCCCAGAAGTCGCCCCAGAAGATTGCCAAGAAATACAAGAGCGCTATCTGCCGAGTCACTCTGCTCGATGCCTCTGAGTATGAGTGTGAGGTGGAGGTAGGGACCACCCCATGCCAACGCCCCCTCCGCAGCCGGCTGGCCTCAGAGCAGAGCAGGCTTCTGTGTGCACTCCATCCATTCGTCATGGAGTCCTGGACTGACTCGAGTGTCCCAGAGAGATGGCCTGGCCAGGCCTCTGTGCAGATGGTGGCATCCAGGCCTGGAGAGGCCTGTTTTGATTGCAAATAGAATTGACGAGGCACCAGGCTGGCACCAGGAAAAGGTTTCTCAGGGTGGCTGTACCTTGGCGAGGAGCCACCATCCAAGGGCTGATCTGCAGCCCAATCTCTTCTGCGACCCAGCAGACACTGTTCCAACTAGAATCATTTTTCTTAAAAAAATATATTTTATTGATTTTTTACAGAGGGGAAGAGAGAGGGATAGAGAGTTAAGAAACATCGATGAGAGAGAATCATCGATCAGCTGCCTCTTGCACACCCCCTATCGGGGATGTGCCTGCAACCAAGGTACCTGCCCTTGACCGGAATCGAACCTGGGACCTTTCAGTCCACAGGATGATGCTCTATCCACTGAACCAAACCGGTTTTGGCTAGAATCATTTTTATTGGGTGGAGAGAGGGGTCCTCCCTTGTGAACTTCCCCTGCCCAGGATACTGCTTCTAGGACTAACTGGTCACTTGAGGGTTCCATGGTAAGGGTGTTCCCCAGGCGCAGGGAGGTGGCCATCGGGAAGACATACTCCCCCAGGCCGCGCAGAGACCCTGTGGCATGGTCCTGTCCCCCACGGGGTGGCAGGGCAGACACCTCCTCTCTGGAGTCAGCCCTTCTGGCCTCACAGTTGGCGTCTCTCTTTTCCTGTCTAGGCTCAGAATCCTGCCTAAATTCCGAATTGTCTCTCACCCCCTTAGAGATTCTTCCCTGGCCCAGGCACCATTCCTGGCCCTCTGGAGAGTCCAGAGGGTGGCCTCACTGCTGAGGGTTACAGGAGCCACTCCCTCTCTCCCTCCTGCCCGGATCTTAAGGGACATGCCTGGCTTCTGAGTCCTGGGAGGCTGGTCCCTCTTTTTTTTTTTTTTTTTTTTTTTTTTTTGCAGGGTTGGGGTATTTTGTTTTGTTTTTTTAAAATATTTATTTCTTCTATAGAAGGGTTTCAGAATAAACATCTGGCCTACTTTGGGGCATAATGAAGGGATATCTTCTACCTCTTCTCTCTTACCCACCCTGGCCCCAAGAGGCAGTTCATCCTGCCCTAGAGAGTGTAGAGTTTGGCTGAGGCCAGTCCACACTCCTCCCGGCTCGGGGACCTCATGGCTTCCCACAGCTGCTGTCCACAGTCAGGCCTGGTCTCAGCCCCTATGACCTAGCCAGACCGTGCAGGGCCTCACCCTCTCTCTGGAGGTCCCTGCCTCGCTGGGTAGTAACTGCTTCTCACTCCCCCGGCCCTGTAATGCCTTTATTGGTGCCCATACCCACTATGGGCTTAGGGTAGATAGGCTCTGGGATTTGACCTTGTGCGTCCTCAGGCCCAGATGGTTGTTCAGAGAGGTACCAAGCCTGGTTGTGTGGGGGTGGGCTAGAAAGGTGGCTCTATCAGGCTGCTTCTAGCTGAGGCTGATTTGGGCCCCATGAGCCCCTATAGAACCTTACTTGCTGCCCGGGTAGGATTTCACTCAGACTTAGTGTTAGGGGCAGGGCTGGGGAGGGTGAGTCACACTGTGACCTGAGTCCTGGGCTCTCCCCTAAACCCCTGTCCATGCCCCTCATATTTCAGGTGGCTCCTCTCTCCTTCTCCCACCCAAAGCTTAGACTTCATTCTCTGTTCCTTGGGTCCAAGTTAGCCTCCTTCTCTTAATCCCTGTAAGGAAGGAGAAATCACACACACACACACACACACACACACACACACACACACACACACGCACACACACGCACACCCACACACCCCGACTCCCAACTCCCTCCCCAGCCCCTGAGCAGGTCTGAGGTCTGGGAAGGCTGGAAGAAGGCACTTGATGACCTGGGCGTTAGGTCAGAGCCGGGGGCGGCAGGGGTGCTGACCTCTCTCCGGGGTGGGGGAAGGCTCTTGGGGGCCTGCCCGCTGTCCTGGCGGAGTCAGGGCCCCCCTGCCCCCCCGGAGGTGACGCCGGCCTCACGGAAGCTCTGCTCTCTGCTCCAGAAGCACGGCCGGGGCCAGGTGCTGTTCGACCGGGTCTGCGAGCACCTCAACCTGCTGGAGAAGGACTACTTCGGCCTGACCTTCTGCGATGCTGACAGCCAGAAGGTGCCTGGGCTGGGGGGGCGGCAGGGGAGGCTGCTGTGGGGAGACCTCTTCCCTGTGGCCCCATAGTCCTGGGGCAGCCCATGGGCTCCGTCAGATCTCGATTAGGCACCTTCTGCTCTCTGTGTCCACTCCAGCCCCCAGTCCTTTCTTTTTTTTTTTTTTTTTTAATATATTTTGATTTTTTACAGAGAGGAAGAGAGAGGGATAGAGAGTTAGAAACATCGATGAGAGAGAATGATCGATCAGCTGCCTCTTGCACACCCCCTACTGGGGATGTGCCCGCAACCAAGGTACATGCCCTTGACCGGAATCGAACCCGGGACCCTTCAGTCCGCAGGCTAACGCTCTATCCACTGAGCCAAACCGGTCTCGGCTCGATTAGGCACTTTCTGCTCTCTGTGTCCACTCCATCCCTCAGTCCTTCTTCTTCTTCTTTTTTTTTTTTAAATATATTTTATTGATTTTTTTTTACAGAGAGGAAGAGAGAGGGATAGAGAGTTAGAAACATTGATGAGAGAGAATCATCAATCAGCTGCCTCTTGCACACCCCCTACTGGGGATGTGCCCGCAACCAAGGTACATGCCCTTGACCGGAATCGAACCCGGGACCTTTCAGTCTGCAGACCGACGCTCTATCCATTGAGCCAAACCGGTTTTGGCTCCCCAAGTCCTTTCTTGGGGACCTGAATGCCACCCCAGATGGGTATCTGAGAACCAGCCATGGCTTCCTGGGGGAACTGAGGCACTTACCCCCTCTGGGGAGGCTCCTAGTTTCCTCCTTCCACCAGTCTCACCGCAGCTGTATTACCTGTTCCTGTGCTGCCTCAGGGCAATGCCACCCAGAGCCCTGAGTCCCAAGCTCGGGGTGAGTCCAGGCCTTATTCCCTTACCCCCCAGTCCCAGGAAAAGGGCCCAGAAAGCTCAACCGGGGAAGGGTGCTCCCGCCAGGGTCTGTTGGTGGCTATTTCGGGATGTTGCCCTCTCCTGGGCCTATCTGGGTCCTCTTCTCCATCTTCCCTCTAAAGAACTCTATCTTCTCCTGCAGAACTGGCTGGACCCCTCCAAGGAAATCAAGAAGCAGATCCGGAGTGAGTGGCCGGCTGTGGCTGGGAATGCGGTGGGGGGGGAGGGGGGGGGCAGGAAGGGGCTCCAGGCAGCGGGGGCCGCAGATGTGCTGCTCTGCCCTACTTTGGGAAGTGTGATCAGATTCTTGAGTTCATTTGCTCCCCGTGGAAGATCTTGGGGGAGGCAGGGCATGGCTTTATGGGTGAGGAGCCTGAGGCCTGGATAAGAGAAATGCCTGTGCAGCGATTTTCAATCCTTTCCATCACATGGCACACATAAACTAATTACTAAAATTCTGTGGCACACCAAAAAAAACAAACAAGCATATTTTTGCTGCTCTGACAAAAAAAAAAAATAGGTATAATTTTGGTTAGTTTTTTTACTCCCATTGATTTTTAGAGAGAGAGGGAGGGAGAGGGAGTGAGAGAGAAACATCAATCGGCTGCCTCCTGCACACCCTCTACCAGGGATCAAGCTGGCAAACCCTGTATGTGCCCTGCAGGATTTGAACCAGCAACCTTTAGGTGCACAGGATGATGTGCAACCAATTGAGCCATACCAGCCAGATTTCAGTTTGGTTAAATAGGTATAATTTTGATTCATTCACATCAGGTGACTATTCTTGTATTGGCTGTTGTCATTTAAAAAAAAAAATCTTCACCCAAATATATGTTTATTGATTTGAGAGAGAGAGAGGAAGGGGAAGGAGGGAGGGGAAAAGGTAGAGAGAGAGAACAGTGTGACTCAGTTGAAAATTGCTGTTCTAGCCCGGCTGTGGTGGCTCAGTGGTTGAGGGTGGAACTATGAACCAGGAGGTCATGGTTCAATTCCCCGATCGTGCAGGAGGCAGCCCATATTCTCTCTCATCATTAATGTTTCTCTCTCTCCCCCTCTCCCTTCCTCTCCGAAATCAATAAAGATGTATTTTTTAAAAAAGAAAAAGAAAATCTCTGGTCTAGAGTCACACAGTAGGTTAGCAGAGGGATCACACATGCCCTCAGGATGTCAGCACTGAAGAGATTTGCAGGGTCATCTAGGACCCGGGGGCAAATAATGACCTGAAAACAGCCCCCTCCTCTCCAGGGCTGGAGAAGGCTTCAGTGATCAGTGACCCCTGACTCAGCATCCTTGCCCACACAGCACTCATGGAGTTAATGTGTCAGAAGAAGGCTAGGCCCTTCCATGATCCTGGCCATCTCTTGTATTTAACAGTGGATGGCTAAGGCCCAGAGAAAGGCAGTTATTTGCTCAAGGTCACAGAGCAAGGCATTGGCTGAGCCAGGTCTTGAACCCTGGCCTCCCAGCACCATCCTGCACTCTTTTCAGGGTCTGGGGCAAGGACAGACAAGCAGGCTGACAACCCGTGCTGTCTGTTGGCAGGGGTGTGGCTCAGATGGCAGGAGGAGGAGGTAGGTGGCCCCAGAGAGGGGCCATGCAGTAGGCAGAGACCTAGAGCCTAGACAGCCCTCCCCCTTGCTTGGACTCTGGTCCCTGGGCTAGAAAGCTCTAGCGGAGCCTGTTGCTATGACAGCGGGCAGCTGGCCCAGGGATGCCAGCTGACTCTGTGGGAGGGGGCTTGAGGAATTCTTCCTGTCAGCTTCTGTCAGTTGTAGACAAAGAGAGAGGCACACAGACAGAGCGTGCTCCTCTGGAGCCGGGTCCTCGGCCTGGGCTCAGGCTGTCCCCAGGAGCCCCAGCCTGGCTGGGCGGCCCGGCTCTCCTGCCTGAAAGAATCAGAACACGAACAGCGAGCAGTGTTTGAGAAGGACCCAAAGCTTGGAAAAGAGAAGCGCTGGCCATTGTGGGTCTCAGCTCCCCCCCACCCCGCCCCCCTGGGGCAGGAGTCAGTGCCCTGGTGTCATCGGAGCAGTGCTGCCTCCTGTGTGAAGCCACAGTCTCTGCCCTGCCCGGGCGTCTTCCACCCATTCAGTCTAGTTCCGTCTTTCTGGGATCCCAGGGAGCAATTTTTCACCCCCTTTCTTTAAGACAGCCCCTCCTCCCAGCCTTCTGAAGGTGGCACAATCCTGGTCTTGGGTATATTTCCTCTCAGATCTCTGCGCCCGTCACCGAGGGCACTGGGGGCAACTCCAGCCCTCTGGGCTCCGCTTCCTCTTGGCGCGAAGATTAATGATCCCCACCTCACAAGGTGGAGGTGACAGTTCAATAAAGTGTGTGGACAGTACCTGCCACCTAGCAATGTGGTGTTACTTAAAAGGAGAGAGAATGGGGCTGGACTGCCTGGATTGGATTTCTGACTGCATCACAACTTCTTGTATTGTTTTGTGTCTCAGTTTCCTCATCTGTCAAGTGAGAATGATGATCGTATGTACCTCTAGGTGAGGATTAAATGAGTTATTAAATGTGAGGATTAAATGAGTTATTAGGTACACAACATCTAAAATGGTACCTGCACAAGTAATTATTATCATTATTATTTCCGAGACAGGGGTTATTTCCCCTTAAGGCTTCTTTCTTCCCTTTATTTTATTTATTTGTTTTTTTAATTTTGATTTTTAGAGAGAGAAAAAGAGAGGGTGAGAGAGAGAGAAAAACATCGATTGGCTGCTTTCTGCACCGGGGATTGAGTCTGCAACCTGGGCATGTGCCTTGAACAGGAATGGAGCTGACAACCTTTCCGTGCCTGGGATGATGCCCATCCAATTGAGCCACTCTGGCCAGGGCTCCCCTGAGTATTCTTTTTCCAAGGAGTCAGCTGTGGTCAGGAGCCTGGATTCTGAGGTCAGATGACCCAAGATTAGACCCCTGTTTTCTTTTTAAAAAAATGTTTTTATTGATTTTTAGAGAGAGAGATAGAAACATCGATGAGAGAAAAGCATCAATATTGATTGGCTGCTTCCTGCGTGCCTCCTGCTGAGGATCGAACCCACAACCCAGGCATGTGTCCTGACTGGGAATTGAACCTATGACATGAGTCAACGCTCAACCACTGAGCCACACCAGCTGGGCTAGATCTCTGTTTTCTACTGCCGAGCAGCTGAGTGACCCTGGGAGAGTTACTTAACCTCTCATATTCTCCAGTGTATGTGCTGCCGAAGCGAGCACACCTCTCAGATCTTCATCCATAGGAAGGAAAGTCAACCTCAGGATCATTCTGAAGATTAAATTTCTATACATGCCTGTAACATGTAGCAAACCAAGTGACCAGAGCTTAGTAAGTGTTGGAGACATGACAGCTGAAGATGGTGACGATGAGGATGAAGATGGTGACGATGAGGATGGTAGTGACAGCATGAGCTCCAGCCTTCATGTCCTGGATGGGCCCCCCTTTCTCACTTTGTCAGGGGCCTTGTTAGAGCATGGAGCCCCAAGTGTCACAGGGGTGGTCTAACCATTGTTCTGGATTGTAGCCTTTCATCAACACCTCCTCTCTGTTTCTTTCCCCTGCCCCCCTCTCCCTCCTGCCCTGCCCCATCTCCCTCCTGCCCCTGCCCCCTCTCCCTCCTGCCCTGCCCCCTCTCCCTCCTGCCCCGCCCCCTCTCCCTCCTGCCCTGCCCCCTCTCCCTCCTGCCCCCACCCTCCACCACCAACCTCTCTTCCTTTCTTATGTGGTCATCCCTTCTCTTGGCTTACTGAGCTAGTTTCCAGCTAAAACCTCAGCCTTTATTTCTGTCTGCCTTCTATAGATGTACCATTAATTTTTCATATCTAAATGCGGAGGTTAACATTTATCCCTGTGAGATGACCTCTGATACTTTTAGCCCATCATATTTGCCTTTCAGGTCTTGTTTATAATCCATTTCTGTCGTTTGAGATAGAGTTAAAGTGAGATAGGGCAGAGTTTTCCAGTGTGTTTCAGGGAACATTAATCTGCCTTATGAAAAATGGATACAGCAGGTCAGATAAGTTTTGGGAAGTCTTGAATGCTTGTCTCCTCTGGAGAGGTACAATTTGTAACGGCAGAGGAGGGCTCTGAGAAGTCCAAAGTTAGAAAACCTGTTTAATGTGGTGCTTTTAGGCTTCTTTTCTCCCCATTCACGTCCTGGCAACTGGACTTTCCTGAAAAGGAAGGGGCACGGGCGCTGGAGCCAAGTGGGCCTGGTCTGAAGCCCAGCGTCGTCCTTCCTCGCCGGTGCCCCTGGGCTGACAGCTCTACTACCTGAGCCTCAGTGTCCTTGTTTGCAAAATGGGGGACTCACTCACAGGGTTGTTGCAAGATATAATGAAGCAATGTTTGTAAAATAATTAATGGGGTGCACAACTGGTGTTCTTTCTTTCTACCTTTCTCCCCACTGCTAGTTTACAATAAAGCTCTTCACACGGGCCTCGGTCTTCTCATCTGTCAAGTGGGAACAGTGTTCCAGATTCTCTGATTAGATTGTCCTGAGATTATACAGATGAGAAGACTTTGAAAATTGCTGATAGGATGGTTTGTCTGGGTTATGGTGCCTCTCTGATCTCTGCCCCATCTTCTTTCAGGCAGCCCCTGGAATTTTGCCTTCACAGTCAAGTTCTACCCCCCTGACCCTGCCCAGCTGACAGAAGATATCACCAGGTGAGGGCTGTGGAGGGAGGTAGCAGGTATGGTGGCCGTGGGAGACGCAGGGTGGTATGTGATGGCAGTTGCCACCTCAGATGCCTGTCTAGGCCAGGCAGACACCATCATCAAGGAAGATGACTCAGTGCAAGAGAAAGGGATGCAAACATAGTGGTCAGTGGCAGGTGGCCCTTCCCTTCAGAGGGGGAGGTGTCACAGGGAGCCGTGGGCACCAATGTGAATCCACAAGGACAGACGCCATCTGAGACAGTTGCTGTTGAGCTGGGGCAGTCGTGGCCTTATGAGAATTGGGCCCAATGTGAGAGTAAAAACATCACAGTTTTCAAACGTTGGGAACAAATTCAGATGTTTTTTAAAACGTGGTGTGGGACATCTTTGGGTAGGACCAGCCAAACACATCTGAAGGTCTGATGTGCTGGGTGGACCACCAGCTTTTGACCTTGGGGATGAAGAGGGAGTGGAGTTTTGTCCTGTGTGCTGTTCTGTGCACATGTCAGGCATGTGGGGGTCACATGAGGCATGTGACAACCCCCATGGAGGCATCCTGGGCTGCAGGGGTGCACATGGATTGCACGTGTAGTCGCATTGTGGCTTGAAGGTTGAAAGGGGGTGCAAAGCATCTCTCAGGGTGAGAACGGTAAGAGGCCTTTCCCTTTATCTAAGCTTCTTCCAAGAGATAGTCCCATCACCCACCCACAATGAGATGTGGGTTGGAGATTTTCCTACAGCAGGGAAGGGCTGTAGAATCAGCCCCTCCCTCCCATCGGGTCCTTCTTTCATAATGTTGGCTGCCTGTTTGCCAGGCAATGGGCCAAGGTCAAGATGCTGACTTTGGCCTTGAGAGATAAGACAGTGCCCCTGGAATAGATCTGGCCCGAGGCCGTGGGCTCATTAGTCCTAAGGTCCGGCTTGGGGCCAAGATTCAGCATCAGTGTCTGAACTCCATTCCCAGGAGGGCTGAGAGCTTCAGACCAGGTCAGCCCCCCGAGCCCCTGGTTTCGCCCACGGATGCCCCTTCTCTTTGTGCCAGTCCCCGCCCGGACATCAGGCTTCCAGTGACCCCAAAATTAGCCTTGTCCAGCTTGGATGATCCCAGGGAATGGGATGATTTAGTAAAAAAATATTCAGTCCCAAAATAAACTGGTCAAAGTGACAAATGGGTTGGAATGAAATATTGATCAGAGTGCTTGGCAGTGATTCCTGAAATCTTAGACTTGACCAGAACGCCCATCTGTCCACACTTGCTGCTTGGGATGTGTGAGCTGCTGCTGGTTCTGAGCCTCTGCCTTGGCCCTGAGCACACACTGAGGCTGCACGTGCTTCCTGCCAGCGCGCCAGTTCAGACTGCGAAGTAACGTCATGAGCAGTAAAAATTATTTTAAGTAAAAGCCACCTAAAAGAAAACAGGCAGTTGAAAAAATGGTGAAACATAGCAAAGTGGGCAAGTAGGCATTGCTGGTGGAGATTGGTCCGAAACATTCTTTTTAATACACCATAACTGAAAAGGCAATAAAAAAAATGGCTCTAAAAAATGTAAAAGCATCCAAGTGTGCATAAAAATTATTAAAAATCATGGCCCGGTGGTTGGAAATGTTTCTTTTAAACCAATTTATTTTTAGGCCCATTCACTTAGCGCTAGAGGCAAAATAAAAAGTGTTGAGAAAACATTGGCAAATGGGTCTGTCGGGGCTGTGGACGCGCCGTGCAGGAGCTAAAATGAATGAGGTCACGTCTCACGTGCCGACCTGGGAAGGGCTGCAAGGCAAGTTGTAGAATCAGATGTAGTATTTGATACTTCGCAGATGTTAACAGCTCTCATCAATAAAACCACTTGCCCTTCTGTATGTCCATGGAGGAAAAAAGCCAAGAACACAGCAGATAACAGGGGTGACGTCTGCTGGAGGGGGCCCTGAAAATGGACATCAGGAGGAAGTTCAGAGTCACCTCTAACGTTTACGTTTTTCCACAGTAAAAATGCATTAACTGTAAAAACAAAACGTGCACTACCTTTTCAGAAAGTGATCCAAGTAGTCCCTTTGAGCTTGAAAATGAATTAGAAATCGAAAATGCTCTCACAGTAGGAACAATCCTTCAAATCGAGACGTGCACAAAAATGCTTAAAATATGAAATGGCACAAAACCATCTCATCGGACACACCCAAAATATCAACACGTGAAACGCGTGCCGAGGATCATTCCTTTTCCACTGGGCTGAGGGGTGCTGAGGTTGGTTCGGTTGGCTCAGTGGGCATCGCGGGCGGGAGAGGCACCGTGCCCATGCCCACTCTCCCCTATCTCCAGATATTACCTGTGCCTGCAGCTGCGGGCAGACATCATCACAGGCCGGCTGCCCTGCTCCTTCGTCACGCACGCCCTGCTGGGCTCCTACGCCGTGCAGGCCGAGCTGGGCGACTACGATGCCGAGGAGCATGTGGGCAACTACGTCAGTGAGCTCCGCTTCGCCCCGAACCAGACCCGAGAGCTGGAGGAGAGGATCATGGAGCTGCACAAGACGTACAGGTGAGAGGGCCTGCGCCCAGGGCCTTCCCTGGCTCCTAGAACTTTGCCTGCTGCACCCCCACATGCAGTGCTGTAAGTTCTCTGCCTGGCTCTGCTGCTAACGTGAGGTGCAAATCTGAGGGCACATCGTCTCATCCGATGAGAATGACAGCAACTGGCTGGGTAACCTTAAATGACCTCTTAGCACCACCGGTTCTAAGCTCCTGTATCAGTGTGATGATTCCCCGTCCTTGGTTTCTGAGAATCCGTTTCTTGACCTGTCCGCCGGAGAGGATGGTAACTATTGTGTGTCCCTGAGTAAGTGTCCTGATGTCTTGATCGTGGCATGAAGTTCCAAAGCTTGCACTCTAAAGCCAGGCGGCCCGGGTTCACCGGCTGGCTCTGCCACCTTCAGACAAGGGGATCTCTGCCTTGTCATCTTACCTCCCTCTGCTTTAATTTCCTCCCCGTTCTGTGTGGGCGCTAATGAAACCTGCCTGGGAGGACTGCTGGGAGGACTACGTGGTTCATCGTAAAGACCCACCACATGCTCTCTGTGATTTGAGGGCTTGAATAGTTGTGCGGAGGAAAGCACTTTGTGCAGAAGTTAGGTGATTAGCTAGGCGTGTGGCTGTGGGCTGGCTATTTAACCCGTCAACCTCATTCTTCACCTGTATTTGTGCAGACCTAGATCATCGGTGTGTCTCAACTCTTGGTCTTTGGAGCAGGAGAATTCATTCTGGAAGATGTTTGACATCCCTGGGCCCCAGCTATGAAATGCTCTTATCAACTCCTCAGTCCTTGAACAACCCAAATGTTCCTTTCCATTTCCAAATGCCCACTACGAGGGTGGTACCATCCCCTGGGAGGAACCCCTGAAAAGGAATGGTCTCCAGGGTGCTGTCAAGTTGGGAGTGCTTTGGGCTTCAGGTCAGGATTGTTATGGGAACTCCGTGTGGTAAACAGTGTGAAAGTGCGTTACAAACCGTGCAGTGCTGTGCCTGAGGGAGCGGGCACGGTGATTTTCCTCATTGCTAACAAGGATAGAGGGATGGAGGACGGTTCTATCCTGGGGCTGCGTCAGGAGAGGAGGTCCAGGGCCAGACGTGGAAGGATCATGTATGGGGGGAAGAAAGCCTGCTGGGGTGTGGTGGAATGCAGATGTGGCAAATGTGTCTTTCTGAGACTTGCACTCAACTCTGATTGGTTAGCAATGGCTGTTGTTGTATTGTGTTGTGTAGGATACTGAAACCATATGGCAGGTTCGCAGTGTCTGCCTGGCTCGGGGATAGGGAGTGATGGCCTGCCTACCATCTCCTTGTCATTCCTGTTGTAGGTGTTAGGATGTGTTAGGGATCTGCAAGAGTCAGTAGACAGGCATATCCTGTTTGACTGCACTTCACAGATACTGAGTTTTTTATAAATTGAAGGTAAGACCCTTCACCAGCAAAAAGATTATAGCTAAAGGCTCAGATAACAGCATTTTTTTTTTTTAGCAATACAGTATTTTAAAATTAAGCGATGTCCATTTTTTATACACAATACTAGTGCACACTCAGTAGACTGCAGTATAGTATAAACATACTGGAAACCCAACAAGTTCGCGTGGCTTGCTTTCCTGTGATTCTGGTTTCATGCTGGTGGCCTGGAAGTGAACCTGCAATATCTTCAAAGCCTGTCTGTGATTGAGAGAAAGACGTTTAGATCGATATGGGCTGGAAACATGCTGATTGCCATCCCTTTCCGCTCTTTCGACTGAGAGCACATTGAACTCTGCTGTCCAGGTACTCCACACTGAGGGGACCGAGCAGAGGAAACAGGCCCAGAGCATGTGAGACAGATGAAAACGTAATGGTTAGGAACATAGACTCTGCACCCACGTTGTCTGGATCCAAATCCTGACTTTGCTACTTAGTAGCTGTGTGTCCTTAGGCCAGTTATTCAACCTCTCTGTGCCACAGCTTCCTCATCTGTAAAATGGGGAAAATGATGATACCTATTTATAGAATTGTTTTGAGGATTCAGTAACTTCAGTCATGCAAAATGCTTGGAACAGTAACCGCACGCAGTCCTCAATAAACGTTTGCTGTGACTGAGTGTAAAATGTATGGTTTCCTGGCGGTCAAAGCAAAGAAGGAACTTGTATAACTTCTTTCTAGAAAGGAGAAGGGACACCTGTTCCTCAGGTTAAGTGGTTTCTGATATAATGTTCTAAGATAAATATATATATTTTTAATTGAATGAATATTTACTATATAGTTAGCATTGTGAAAGACACTATGAGATGTCAGGAAGGCATCATACATGGCTCCTACTCACTAAATACTATAATAAGGGGTCATAATCAGGCCTTTTTTGACTCCAAATCCTGTATATAAGATAAATACCTTACGCGGACAGTGATTCCCGAGCCCCTGGGTGATTATAACGGGCCGCCTTCCACAGTGGCTTCGTGGCCACGGAGAAGCAGGACTTGTGGCTCCCACTTCACACAGTGGCAGGATGAGGCAAAAATCCCAACTCCTGGCCCAGCCCTTGAATGCTTCCTGGAGGAAACGAGATTGGACTTGAGCTTTGGCGGAGATGGGGGTTGGGTGGACTGAAGAGGGGCCTGGGGTGCACCATCCTGCACTGAGAGCAGAGGGGAGGTTCTGACGGTGCCACCTTCAGTCACAGGACTCAGGCGGCCTTTCCCATGGCCCCCTGTGATCCCTTTCTTTCCACCAGGGGCATGACCCCAGGAGAAGCGGAGATCCACTTCCTGGAGAACGCCAAGAAGCTGTCCATGTACGGAGTAGACCTGCACCATGCCAAGGTACCTTTGGGTCCCAGGGCCCAGGGCCCCCTAGCCTCTAGGGTCTCCCCCCATTGAACTGTGATGTTCTTCTGGAGGGCTTGGTGTGCCAGACCTGCATTCCTGCCCACCTGAAGCCTCAAAGTTTCATAACCCTTTATTCTCCCATGACCCTTATCATTTTCTCCTTGTATTATATTTATTTTTGAACCTGTTTGTGCCTCCACTAGATTGGGAACATTGTGAGGGAAATACAGGGCCTTAATTTATTTCTGCATCCCTAGCGTGTAGCCCATGGCCTGGCACCAAATATGTACTATTAAGTGTTTGCTGGATGAATAAGTGATTAACCAAGAAAATAATAGAACAAGTGAGTGGGTGGATAAATGATAACACGAAGGAGTGAATGGTTGAATGACTGTGAGAGGGATGGTCAGGGACTCCAGCACGGAGCCTCCAAGTCCACCTGCTCCTTGGGCTCACCTATCAGTAGAGCTCAAGAGGGACTTGGGGTCGGGAGCAGGCTGCCCCGGGAGTGGGCGTCAGGCCTGCTGTTCCATGGTCCCTTCTCGCACAGGACTCTGAGGGCATCGACATTATGTTAGGAGTCTGTGCCAATGGCCTGCTCATCTACCGGGACCGACTGAGGATCAACCGCTTCGCTTGGCCCAAGATTCTCAAGATCTCCTACAAGAGGAGTAACTTCTACATCAAGATCCGGCCTGGGGAGGTGAGCCTGCTTGGGATCCCTCCTCCTCACCGAATCAACTAGAATGGAGAGGATCTGGTTGCTGGGCCCGAATTTTTCCTTCTCAGGATATAGGATGGTGGTGCTGGGATGCTGGGTATATGGAGAGAGCCATCTTCTGCTGGGGCTCTTTTCAGACACTTCACACCTTAGGTATGTCCTGCACACACAAACACACACACACACGCACACACACACACACACACACACAGGAGCACATGCACGAGCACACATGGAAAGGTAATCACATATATTCAGTATACATGCCCATGTCCCTGTATTTGCTTACATGTAATACTCAAATACACAAACTAAGGTACATATATACACACAACCACACACATGCAAACATGTATCATCCAGCCTCCACAGCTCAGCCTAGAATAAATGCAAACCCGTTTGCTTCTTGCCTCCCCACTGCACCAGCTACCAGCAGCCATCATCTCTCATCTTCGTCTCCACCGCATCCTTCTCGTTGCCCTGTCACGCCAGACCATTTTTTCATAGCCGCCGAAGAGAGCTTGGCAGCCCCTTCCATCATAGCATGTGAAGCTCGCCCCTTATTCCCAGGCCTTGCTTAAATGTTTGAAGAGCTTTTTTTTTTAGCTTTTGGCCGAAAGCCCACACTCTGTCTGTGGCCACCTGCCTCTCCCACATTGCCCCCTGCCCACTGCACTCCAGCCCCTTTGGCCTTCTCTGAAATCCTTGAATAAGCAAGCTCTTCCCATCCTGAGCCCTTTGCTTTTGATCATCCTCTATCTGCAATCCTCTTCCCCACTCTCTCAGATAGCTGGTTCCTTTCCCATCCTTCAGATCTCTGCTCAAAGGTCACCTTTCTAAAATAATACCCACCCCTGCACCTACACTGGTATTCTGTCACATCACACATCTTTGTCCAGTCCCTTCAGTATCTGAAATGATCTTGTTTAATTATTTATGATCAAAGTCCCCTCTTCCTGGAATCTTCTGTCTTTTTAAAAATATATATATATATTTCTTTATTGATTTCAGAGAGGAAGGGAGAGGGAAAGAGAGATAGAAACATCAATGATGAGAGCGAATCATCGATCAGCTGCCTCCTGCATGCCCCCTACTGGGGATCGAGCCCACAACCTGGGCATGTGCCCTTGGCCGGAATTGAACCTGGGCCCTTCAGTCTGCAGGCTGATGCTCTATCTACTGAGCCAAACCAGCTAGAGCTGAATTTTCTGTCTTGATCACCATGGTGTCTCTCTTGCTCTAGACTTATTACAGAGTAAGGACTCAGTTCATATTATTGAGTAAACAAATCCTATATAATAAAACCCTAATATGCAGATCGACCCAACAGCGACGTGCAATTACGTGCACTGACATGCACTGATCACCAAAGGGCAGATGCTCAATGCAGGCGCTGCCTCCTGGTGGGCAGTGCATTCCCACAGGGGGAGCACCGCTCAGCCAGAAGGCGGGCTCACAGCTGGTGAGTGCAGTGATGGCGGAAACCTCTCCTGCCTCCACTGCAGTATGGAGCGAGGGGTCCTGGACTGTGAGAGCCCTGGACTGCGAGAGGGATGTCTGACTGCTACCTTAGGCCTGATTGGGCCTAAGCCGGCAGGCAGACATCCCCTGAGGGTTCCCAGACTGTGAGAGGGCACAGGCCAGCTGAGGGACCCCTCCTCCAGTGCACAAATTTTGAACACCAGGCCTCTAGTGAATAAATAAAAGAACAGGCCAGAGTCACACATGCTGAAAAGAGGTTCAAAAGGATGGACTGATGGAGAGAGGGATCTTGCTTCTTACCCACCTTTCTTGGTTTTGCAGTATGAGCAGTTCGAAAGCACAATTGGCTTTAAGCTCCCAAACCACCGGTCAGCCAAGAGACTGTGGAAGGTCTGCATTGAGCACCACACGTTCTTCCGGTGAGCCAGACCTGGGGATGGGGTAACTGGGAATGAGACAGAGGCTGTGAGTGTACGTGTGGGTGATGTCTGCTTTTTGAGGGCAGAGCGGGACCATAGGAAAGACCTCCCTCCTCTTTCCCCAAGTCTCTTCCCTCCTGGACCGCAGAGTGTAGCTGGTAGGACAGTGGGATGAAAGGCCAGCTGTGGTCCTGGCAATGCAGGTATGATCCGCCCTCCTCACCTCCATCCCTCCGCTGCAGGCTCGTGTCCCCCGAGCCCCCACCCAAGGGCTTCCTGGTGATGGGCTCCAAGTTCCGGTATAGTGGGAGGACCCAGGCACAGACCCGCCAGGCCAGCGCCCTCATCGACCGGCCCGCGCCCTTCTTCGAGCGTTCCTCCAGCAAACGGTACACCATGTCCCGCAGCCTTGATGGAGGTATGCCCTCAATTGGCGGTGGGAGAAGAGTGGTGTTCGGAGGGAAGGGGATGGGCGTGCCAGGGGCCGGATGAGCAGTGACTTGCACCTGGGCAGCTCTCAGTGGATTAGCCTCAACCTATGGCCTCACTGTGGCTGGGATGTGACTTCCAGGGACTTCTGTGAGCCTTTTGGAGTCCCAGGTTTAGCCATATGGTTTTCTGGGCCCCCTGCCTAAGATGCTTAGTGATTCATGGGTTGGCGTCATACCAGGAGTACGATGTATTATGACTGCAATGTGGAGTTGGTGATGTATTTATTACCTGGCTGGAGGCAGAGGGGTTGTTCCCAGTCATTCTTTTGGTTCCATTGAACTGATTGACCTGGTGCTCTCTGTTGGGCTGACAGGTGCCCTTAATACCAACAACAACTGGCCCTACATTGTCCTCTAGCAAGCAGACCAGGGCTTCTCAAAATATGGTTGTAGACCACCTGCCTCAGAATCACCTGTGAGTCCGCTGAGCATGCAGATTCGCAGGCCCTGGCCCAGACATACTCACTTGGCATCCCTCAGGGCTCCGTCTCCCCCCAGTATGCACACGAGTTTATAGGGGAGATTCAGAAACCACATGGGATAAAGGCCATGGGATACAAGCGCTAGGGAGATTCAGAGTTTGGCAAGTCTGAGTTCAAATCTCAGCCTTGGCTCTCACCAGCTGCTCTGTGGACACAGGATGTGGCTCATAAACATCTGAATGGACGGATGGGAGGCCTTGGGCAACTTAACTCCCTGTGCCCATTTCCTCTCCTACAAAATAAAGATTATTTACTTCACTATGCTATGAGATAATGCCTCTACAACACCCAAAACAATTCCTGGCACATATTAGGAATGGAATACATACTACTCAATAACAAGTTATTGTTTATTGTAGCAGTAATAAGTTATTACTATTGCTTTTAGATTTGTAGAGGATGGTTTAAAGGTAGGAGATGGGGACTTGAGTGGGGGAAACAATGGCTACTCCCTGAACACACTGGGGCAGGACTCTCAGCAAGTTAGTCCCACTTGACAGATATTTCCTGAGTCTCAGAATAAGTGTGGCCCTTTCCTTTGAGAAGCTCCTAGAATGGTAGGTTTAGAAGCATTCAACGTGACTCAAACAATGGAAGAAGTACAGCATACAGAGTGCCTTAAGGAGAGAGGGATTAATTCTCTCTAGAAGGAGCAGAAGGGGCTTTGCAGAGAGGGTGACAGCTGGGCAGGGTTTTGAAGGATACGGAGGAGTTTTCCAGGAGATCAGGCAGCTGATACTTGTCCTGCAGTGTGAAGGTGAGACCTGTTCCAGAACACCCTGGCCATTTAAAAAAAAAAAAAAAACAGATTTAAAAATATATATTTTATATATTTTTTACAGAGAGGAAGAGAGAGTTAGAAACATCGATCAGCTGCCTCTTGCACACCCCCTACTGGGCATGTGCCCGCAACCAATGTACATGCCCTTGACCGGAATCGAACCTGGGTCCTTTTAGTCCGCAGGCCAAAGCTCTATCCACTGAGCCAAACCGGTTTCAGCCGCCCTGGCCATTTTTGAAGGACATGCAGTTTTGCAAGGGTCTATTTGGAACTGAGGAAGTTCCTTATTCTTGAATGGTCACAGGAATGAGAGCTAAGTTTTATGTAAAAAGAAAGGAGGGCCCATACTGTCTCTCTGTCCTCCCCTGCAGCAATCATCACTGTGCCAGGGGCGAAATGAAGCCCAGATTGTGCAAGGCAGCAAAGATTGGCCCAGATTTGACGATGCTCACCAAGAGGGGCCGGAAGCCTGGACTCGAAGCCAGTGGGCCTGGGTTCTTCCCCCAATTCACTGGAAGGTCCCAGCGCCTTTGTAAAATGAGGATAATAATTCCCATTCTAGTCATCAGCACAGAGCACTGTGGGCTCAAATGAAATAATGTGCATGAATGGGCACTTTGCAGAGTAAATATATATAAATAGAAAGGATAATTGTTCTCTCCTTTTTAATCCAGGCCAATTCCAAGGATGATCTGTGCTCCGGTCATTCACTGTTTTCCAGCCATTTTCACCCCACCAAGACATAATCCATGGGCATAGTCTGAGTTATGCCCAGTGTCTGGAGTGAAGGGTGTAATTCTACCCTTTTCTCTCCTGTTCAGGAAAGTTCTTGGAATGCCAGCTAAGTGAGAAAGATGTTACTTGCAAAGGTTCCCTTGAATTTTCTTTGATTGATAAAGAAGCTACGTTATTTGCAAACCTCAGGACTTGAGCTTTCACTAGTTTAAAATCTCACGATGTCTGTGTGTTGTTAGATAATGGTCACGTGAGCATTCCGGCAGAAATGCCGCAAGAAAAATCAACATTTGTGGGCCAACATGAATTGAATTGGCTCACTCTGTGGCAGTCACTCTTCCAAATATTTCTATTCGTGAGCTTATTTGTTCCTCCCCCAGTTGTCTGAGGTAGGTACTGTTGATCGATGAGAAAAAGGAGGCCCAGAGAGGTTGTATAACTTACCCACTGTCACACGGCTAAGAAGAGAGAGATTTGAGATTTGAGCCTGGGCTCTAGTACTGTAGAAGTCAGCAGGGGACTGGCAGGCAGGCCACGTGACTGGGAAGGCTGCTTCACTCCAGCTGGGCCCTGGTTGGGGTGTGGAAGTGCCTGCTCCGCTCCAAGCGTGGCTGGGCAAGTGGCAGGGCCGACTCCCTGCCCGTGCACGGGGGAGATGCCTCCCATGGCTGCCCGGCTGTTTCTGCCCACTTTAGCAGAGTTTTCCCGCCCAGCCTCGGTGAGTGAGAACCACGACACAGGACCCGATGGTGACAAACGGGAGGAAGATGGCGAGTCTGCCGGGCGGCAGTCAGAGGCCGAGGAGGGAGAGGTCAGGACCCCCACCAAGATCAAGGAGCTGAAGGTAGGAGCCTGACTTTCTTACACCCACTGATCTGGGGACCAGGAGGCTGATCCTGCCTTTAGCCTTGGCCTTCAGGTGCCCCAGCTGTGGCTGAGCACCCTTGCTATGGGGTGCACCAAGCACAGAGCCTTGCCCTTGGGCCATGCTCAATACCTGCACATGCCCCGGTGTGGGGGGGCATGCCGCCCGCCATACACCCTCCCCTCCTTTTGCCATACTTTCCCAGAGGGCATTCTGTACCCTAGGGGACTCTGGTCTCTTCTTGCCCACTCTGAATGTGCCCCCTTTGAATCTGCACAGCCTTCTTTTCCCCCAGAGCATGCTGGGGTGTTTCTGCAGGCCCTCACAGTGTGTATCCCTCCTCTTGTTGTCCACTCTCATTTCCCACATTCCTGTGCACACACTCCTGCAAGCACACTTGGCCTCAGACTTGCATGCGTTCACTCACAGATATACACCCCTCACCCACAGGATTACATATCCAGATTTTTGAACAACATACAAATGGGCACGTGCACACATGGGCATAGTGTGTTTCCAACATGCAGTCCCACTTGGGAGCACAGGTCCCTGATCACATATGCTGACTGCAAGAAGCAGGACGACCCAGAACACCCACTTCCATCTGCTGAGTGTAACTGCTCACTTTTCCTCCAGTCCTCCCGCCCCTGTCATCACCTCCCTGGGCCACCTCCCTGCTTCATACTCCACCCCTTCCAACTACTCACTTCCCCCCTTCCTCTCCTTTTCCCCCTCCCCCCCCCCCCCGTCCCACCCACCCGGGGGCCACCCAGCTTTCCTGGCCCCTGTTGCTTGGGTGAGAGCGCTCTGGGCTACTTGCTGGACTGGGCTGGTCTCAATGTCTCTAATCCACTGGCTCTACTGACCCTGTTGGTTGCTTTCCCTCCTCCCCACGTCTGCTAGCCGGAGCAGGAAACCACGCCGAGACACAAGCAGGAGGTACTGCATGGGCCCTGTTCCTACCTATCCAGTTCATTTGTCACCATTCCACAGCCCATCCCAGGCCGATATCCTGGTGCCATCTCAGCTCCCTGGCCATCCTCCTCCCGCTCCGCTCCCCTTAGTCCCACCCCCACCCAGCCCCCTCAGCTCCCCTTGTTAAGTTCATCTCTTCAGCATCCTGCTCAGACTACATCCCCAGCAGTGTTTGCCCTTCTCTTCCCCCTCCTCTCTATCCAGCTTCACACTTTGCCTCCCCAGACCACCCACACTCACTCCCCCGTCCCTGCTGACTATCCCACTTGTGTTCCTCAGCTCTTCCAGGCATTCCATGCTTTCATTGAGCTCATCTCTTCTGCTTTTTTTTTTTTTTTTTTTTTTTTCCTTTTTGGTATCTATTGGCAACCAGATGTGGATGGGAGGGGTGGGAGGGAGGAGCCTCAGAGCACATCTGAATCTTCTCAGATTCCATTGCCCCTCCCTCTGGCTGGGGTCTGCTTCTCCAGCTGTCAGGAAAGCCTCCTCTGCTTTTCTCCTCCCCTCTCCTCTCCCTCACTTTATTCATCTGTGTTAACCACCTCTCCTTCCCCTTCCCACAGTCTCCGTCTCTGCATTTGAACTTTCACTGCAAGAGAAGTGAATTTATTCTTGGGCCCGAGGGGAAGGACCGTGGTCTGCATGTTAGTCCCAGTTCTGCCACTGACTCTTTGAGGTCTTGGGGACATCCCCTGAGGCCCCAGCTCCCCACCTGCATAGTAAGGCATTTGGACCAGGTTTCCCCAAGGCCTTTCAAGGGTCTTGGGGTTCCACCTCTCCCTCTAGCTGTCAGGAACACCGCATGTCCACTGAGCCAGAGTAGCAGGTACAGAACAGAAGGTCACAAGACACATCTTGGGTCTATTGCAGCCCCAATCCATCAAACTCTATCAGGTTTGATTTATCAGACAGACACGGCCCTGAGGCAACTCAGCTCAGGAAAAGAGGTACAGACAGATGTTTGGAGGCAAAGCAGAAGCCCGAGTAGCATCGGTTTCCTTTCTGAGGTCACCTACGAGTCAATCATAGAGGATCCTCGGATGCCAGAGAGAATCCCAGGGGAAGAATCTAGCTTGTTCAAGGACAAGCTTACCTTCCAGGTAGTTCTGGAATCTCCTGATCTGACTTTATAATAAGCTGAGATTGTCCATTTCTTGCCCTGAATCGAGTTGACCTGAACTCTCAAATAGCCTTGCAGATAAGGGTCCTTGGGCCACCAGCCTACTGCCCTGTCCCCAGAAGTAGACAGACAGGCAGCTTTGGTAAGTCACTGCCATCTCATGTGCAAAGGCTGCACCTCACATGACCTAGGAGCAGATTGCTCTGTCATAATGCACTGATCAGAGCTCAGACTTGGCAGTACAATGTGGAACTCACCTATGACTCCTGCTATACCTGGCTCAGTTCTTGTGTCCAACCTATCTTCCTGGTCTCTAATTCTCCTGATCCTCTTGAACACCCCTCTCTGGCTGTATCTCACCCTGTCTTTTGTTGAGGAATCAATACCCACAGGTATCTGGAAGATTCTGGGTGGTTGGGAAAGGTAGAGGGTGTCAGCAGAGAATACTGAACACAATCTTTTCCTGGTCCCTGGGTCCCTGGTCCTTGGTGTGGGAGCGGAACCCACTTTAATGGCTGTCCCTGGCTTTAGAAGGGCCCCATGGGACCTGATTTACTGCATATGTTGGGCCAGGAGGGGCCTAGGCTGGGGATCGTGCTAAGCACAGTGGCCCAAGTCTTGGTCAGAGGTGGGTGCAGACCAGGATCTGGGAGGCCAAGGAGGGGGTCAGAGCCACCAAGTGAACAGGGTTGGCAAGTTCTCACTGTACCTCGGTTGTGACTTAGACTAGGCCCACAGCATCAAAGGGAACTCACCCAGACCGGTGGGATTTGCATGGGTTCCCACTCTAAAACCAGGAGCCAGGCAGAAAAGTGTAAAAGGTTGTGCTTGACCAGAAGTCAGTCAGTCTCTCTCTCTCTCTCTCTCTCTCTCTCTCTCTCTCTCTCTCTCTCTCTCTCTCTCTCAGACTGACTTCTGAAAGAGAGAGAGAAAGAGAAAGAGAAAGAGAAAGAGAAAGAGAAAGAGAAAGAGAAAGAGAAAGAGAAAGAGAAAGAGAAAGAGAAAGGGAAAGGGAAAGAGAAAGAGAAAGACATCAGTGTGAGAGAAACATTCATCAGTTGCCTCCTGTAAGTGCCCTGACTGAGGATTGAACCCGCAACATGGATATGTGCCATGATCGGGAACTAAACCCGTCACCTTTCAGCGTATGGGATAAAGCTCCAACCAACTGAGCCATACCAGCCAGGGCAGAAGTCTCCTCTTTTTAATCTCGAGTGCTTTGTGCATCTGTTGGGGCTAATATCCCTGCCCTGGCTCATGAGGTGTGGAGAGTGCCACAGGTCACACAGGGGTCACCTTGCTGATCAGGGCAGCGATGGGCACTGTTGCCATTTTCACCACACCTGGTATCCCTCCCAGAGCTGCTCCTCTAATGCCTGGCTGTCCTCTCCCTCACCCTAGTTCTTAGACAAGCCAGAGGATGTCTTGCTGAAGCACCAGGCCAGCATCAACGAGCTCAAGAGGACCCTGAAGGAACCCAACAGCAAACTGATCCACCGGGATCGAGACTGGGAGCGGGAACGCAGGCTGCCCTCCTCGCCCGCCTCCCCCTCCCCCAAAGGCACCCCTGAGAAAGCCAGTGAGGTAGGTCTCACCCTGAACCCCTCGACGGGGGCCCTGGGTAAAGAGGATGGGGAAGTGTGCTGATTCACGGTCACCCCACAGCTGGATGCTCCTCCCTGCCGCTGCGGGCACTGGTGATGGGGGCGGGGTGGTGGGTTAAGCTGAGGAAGACAAAGTCACTGAATCCTGGCATCAGGGCCCCAGGGACCATCCTGGAAAACTAAGAGTGGCTTGGTGTATTCCCCTTCCATCAGGGGGTACTTGTTAGAAATGCATACTCTGGACTCCACATCAGACTTCCTGAATGAGGATGTTGGAGGAAGAGCCCTGGAATCAGCATCTGAAACAAGTGCCCCAGGCGGTTCTCAGGCACACTAAACTCTAAGACTCAGGGTGGTTCTTTGAGCCGATTGTGAAAACACAGATCCGGAAGTATTCCCTCCAGGAAGGATCCTCAGAGCCCACGAGAGGGAACGAGGTCCTCCAGGAAAACCTGTGCCTTCCAGAGAGAGTGGAAAGCAATTGAAAAAGAGAAAGACAGGATCTCGAGAATTCTGGTATTGATAATCCCAACCTGTTATTGTTGGCGCTGCTAAATCTTGGCAGTGTTTACCTCCGTCTGTGCCTGGGTTTTTATACTCTAGTGCTGCTGCTTACTGGGCTCAACCCCAACTTGGATCTAGACTTGTACCGCCTGGGTTTGAACTCTGGCTCTGCTGCCTGCGAGCTGGATGATCCTGTGCTTGTGACTTCACCTCTCTCTCTGAGCCTCCCATTCAATAGAGGTAACAAAGCATCTACTTCTTAGGAAGGTTGTAAGGATTAAGTGAGATAAAGCATGGAGGGGCCAGCAGAGACCCAGAGGCTCAGTACGAGTTACCAGTACTTACTGTTTCATTTTGAGAGACCTGGGACTCTCACACAGAAGGTTAACTTTGAGTCAGGATCCTTTTTAAAGTTGGAAGGGTCCTCCGAACCCGCTTGGTGCAAGGTCATCGTGCCACAGATGGGGCCCTGAGGCCCAGCAGGGGAAGGACTTCTTTAGTGTCATAGCTGATAGAAGAGGAGCCAGAATCTGATTTTCTTGCGTCCCGGGCACTGTATCTGCCGTTAAATCACAACTGCCTGGAAGCAAGACCAAAGTGTGTGAAGACCAGACGTAGAGTCGGTTGCGCGTGTGTGCTGTCCTCTGATGCTTTGACAATTGGTTGATGCAGTCGTGATCTAATAAGCAGAGCATTCTATTGACTCAGCGCACTCCCCATGGCTTTGCCATACCGGCTAACAGAGAGCCTCGTCCACTTAGGCTGCTGTGATGGCTCCCTGGTTGGTGATTCGCAAAGTTAAGGATGATTTGGGGGCTTTTAAGGCCAGTGCCAGGGAAGGAGGGCAAATCTCTGCCCCCCCTGTGGGCGTCTGTGGTCGCCTTTGACATAATCAAGGCTGAACTGGGCCCAGGGGCTGGTCTAGTGATCCAGGTACCTGCCCTGCTCCTGCCCTGAGACCCTTGACCAGAGTGGACTCTCTTCAGTCCTGAAGTGGGTAGGGTGGGATGCAGGGGCTTCGGACACAGTCAGACTCCAGCAGAGAGAGGCAGGATGAGGCCTGGAGAGCTGGGCTCCTGGAGCATCGGGGTGGCCTCAGAGCAGCCTGGTGTGGGAGTGCCCCATCTGCTGGTGGCAGCTGGAACTGCTAGAATTGGATCGTTAAAAGGCGGGGTCTGTCCCTCTCTTGTCTTCCCACTGCTAGAAAGTAGTCTGGCCCAGGAGCTCACCTTGGAGCATTAGGCCTTTAAAGATTTGGGGGATGGGGAGGAGCCTTAGCTAAGGACGGGTCTGACTCCTCGGGCAAACCACCTCACCTCTCTGAGCCTCGCTGGCTCGTCAGTCCATCTAAAGGGAACTAAGATTGCCATTCTGTAGGGTTGGGTTATTGGGAAGGTTGAGCACAATAATAGATATAAACACACTTAATAAACTGGACAGTGTGGACAACCAACGGGCCTTGCTGACGATTAGAAGTCCTGCTCAAACATGGACTTTGCAGGGGCGATCTGCAGGGCGTCTCACCCATGGTTCCTAGTAGTTTCCTCGGGTGTTGGGCATCATCTGGGCCAAGGGGGAAACGGTAGGACTTAAACCAAAACAGGGACCCCAAACTATAAAGGAGAGTTCCGATTTGCCAAGCCTAGGTTTTCACCTCAGAGATAACGTTCTCAAAGGGGCTGAGACGCAGGCTACAGGACTGAACCAACGTCATAAAGCAAAGACACCCAGAGAAGACTTGGAACCGTGTGCAAGTGATATGGCTCCAAAAGCTCTTAACTGAGAATGAGCAGGCGGTGAGGGAAGGCCCAAAGCCACGGTGCTGGCTGGCAGCTGACCGGGGCCTCCTCTCTGAACGGCTTGAGGGGCGGTTCCTTTCTGTCCCGCCCCACAGCGGCGCGGCTCCTTCCTGACCTAATCTATAAACCCTAAAGATGTGGGATGGACAAAGCGGGGCTATTTATGGACTCTGTGTTGTGTCTCTCCTGCTTTCTCTCTCCCTCTCTGTCTCTCCTTCCCTTCCTCCCTCTCTCCCTTTCCTCTGGCCCTGGGCCTCCCCTGCAGTCCCAGAGGACCCAGGACACCTCTCAGCAGGACTTGGCACCTGAGCCTGAGGCGGCCACAGGCTTGGAAGTGTTCACTCAGAAAAGCCTCGCAGCATCTCCTGAGGTTATTGTCATCACCTCCCCGCCCAACCAGAACCCTAATGGTCTTAAGAAAACCCTTCCTCTGGGGCGAATGGGGTGGAGCAGACCCTGCCGTGCACAGGGAGGAGTGGACATGGTCTCCCATGTGACAAATGAACATCCCCTTTCCAGGGATTCATAAAGGGCAGGCCCCTCCCTCATCCATGGCTGCCTGGGAATCAGGACTGAAACCATGCAGGGAAGACACCTCTGGCTTCAAAGGGAGGCAGAAATGAGCTCCCTCAGGCCCTGCAGAGGCAGCTGACTCTAGAGGCAGGCACTGCTCTTTAAGCTTGGGATCAGGGGTCATGGCACCTAAATGTCTTGTTACTGGTTAGAAGCCCGAGTAAGGTCTAGCTGAGGTTAGTTAGGGGATGGCATCCCATTCACCCCCCTACCTCTTTCTTTTCCAAACTCCCCTTGGATCCATCAGGGTCTCCAGACAGACAAAGTGGGCACCTTGCTCCAAGGAGTGAGCTTGGAGCTATAGAGATGTTGGTAAGGCGGGCATTTTGAATGAGGAGGGCATTGCTTCTGGGCCTAGGAGAGCAGCAGGTTGGGGTCTCTTGGAACTTGCTGTGCCCCTGCATGGATGCCAGGTTGAATCCAGGCCCAGCACCTCATGGACGGTCAGGATTGGAAGGTACTGACTGATATATGCCCCTCTCTTGTGGGCACAGAGTGTCTGAGGGCATATACCTTTCTTAATTCCACGGAGAAAAATCTTGTAGCTGCTGAAACATGCTGGCACTGTAATAGAAACATGAGTCAGCTACATAAGTGGGAAAACATAAATCACAGTTATTTTTCCTCAGTTGTAAAAATAAAAACAAAACTATCAGCACAGCCTTGAGAGAAGTTGGACGGGAGTCAACAGCCTCCCAAGGTTAGGGGAGCAGCGGTGCCCTGGAGCATAGACGCTCCCGGAGCCCTGGGCAGGTGCCCGCCCTTGAGCGGGGCAACACACGTCCTTCCTCAGGGTTCCAAAAATTGTCGGTCCAGTCCCTTCCACAGGGGGGCTCTGCTGTTCCTAAGGGCAGCTCGTTTTGTCTCCCGTCATCCATTGTGAGGCTTTCATATTGCATTGTCTGCCCTTCTGAGCCACCAGTCTGTGGGCCTTGCTCTGTCCCCAAGCGCCTTTACGCTGCTCCGCATCCTCAGGATGGCGCTTCAGAGTTGAGCACCCACTAACCCTCTTCCTTCAACACTTTCTCCCGGGGCATGCTTCTAGAGAGCGCCTCATCCTGGACCCCTCCTCTGTGCCAAAATGTGAGCCAGAGCTCCAGTCCTGAGTCCGCAGAGCTGCCGGGCTGGAGACTTGCTCCTTGTCCTTGGGGAGCAGAATCGGCTCCCCTTCCTCTTTCAGCTTCTGTTCCTAGGCTGTCTGACCTCAGGGCCTCCGTCTGACAGCCAACAGCAGGGGGCACTCTGAGCAGGCACTGAGCATCTTGGCTCAGTTGCAAAGAATGGCTGAGGGCTCCCCTGACATCTTCCCCATCCTCACACCTGGTCAGGACGACTTTCAGGCCAATCCCCAGGGCCAGCTGTGGCTCTGCCAGCGCTTAGTGCGGTGAAGCCTTGCTCTTTTCCGTCCAGTCTTCCTTTTCTCTTCAGGTTCCTGCGTATCTGCTTCCACTCGTTAGAAGCAGAGCCCCTTCTGCTCTCAGTGCTCACGCTGTCCTCGGTGCCAGTCACCTTCCTCTGGGAGCCTCGGTTTCCCCTTCTGAGTAGGGGAATAGCACCTGCTTCACAAGTTACCATAAGGATTAAATTTAATCATTTAGACCAGCAATTTCAAGAATTTTAAAAATATGCAATACCTGACTATTTAGTCAGGGCCACTGGCCACTTTCCCCTTAGATTGTCAAATTAAAAAATGACAGCAGCTCGCCTGGTGTGGCTCAGTGGTTGAGCATCGACCTATGAACCAGGAGGTGTTGGTTTGATTCCCAGTCAGGACGATCCCCTGTGTGGGGCATGCAGGAGGCAGCCAACCAGTGATTCTCTCACATCATTGATGTTTCTATCTCTCCCTTCCTCTCTGAAATCAATAAGAATATATATTTTTTTTAAATGACAACAGCCAACCGAACAATAGCCACCTGGTTTGAATGAATCAAAATTATACCCATTTTTTTGTCAGATCGGCAAAAAAAATTTTTTGGTGTGCTTCAGAATCTTAGTAATTGGTTTATGCGTGCCATGAGATGAAAAAGGTTGGAAATCGCTGACTTAGTCAAAAGGCTGGTATTGCCTGGCACAAAGTAATTAAATATAAGTACATTCCCCC